GGGTGTCAAACAGGCACAAAGTTGAAATGATGCATAGAACGAATATGACAACCAAGAAGTATTTTTTTATGTCATCTTAGAATTATGAAGATATTTCAAAATTTCAGACAGCAAATCTTAATTCATTTTTCTCTCTTCTATGAGCTCACTCTTACCATCACTTTCATTTTGTCCACTAAACTGGTAGAGGTCTCTTTAAGTGCAGGTAATGAACCTTTGCACTTAGTTGGGCTGATCAGGTTGGGCTCGAATCGATTGCAAAGAAGCCTGCTTATACGGCTGACTACATAGGCCCATCGTAAGGTGGTCTAGGTCGAGACAAATTTAGTCTCGACTTTAATATTGTGTTAATTTTTTAATTCAAAATTTATTATTTACTATTTTCAGCTGCATGGACCATCTTGCAGGACGATCGAGCACAAGTACTACACGTACACAATAGACATTTCCCACTATTTGCGTAATATGAGCAATGTTATTTGTCATCATAATGATTGATCATCATGTTTAAATGGCATTTCCTATCATCTAGGGTTGGCCGGTGTGGTGGTCGGTGGTGGTGACCGACAGTTATTGATTTTCTAATTTTTGATTTTGGGGATTGGCAAAGGTTGGAGGGGTGGGCGGTTTGAAGAAGATGAATATTTTATTTGTTTATTTTGTTTTTTATTTAATTATTTTATTCTAAAAAATATAAATTTACCATTTTAGCCTTTTCTTTATTTGTCAAGCTAAGTCGAAGTTCGAATTTTTGGGTTGAATAATGGATTAATAGACGGAGTCTGTCCATTGTCCTTAGGCTGCAATTGAAGTGAAAGGTTTAGGACCGTAGATGTAAAAATAAAAGGTTTGGTGTAATTTGCAACAAATTGAAAGGTTTGGGATCTCACTGCAATTTTCCCTTTCAGTTGTATACTCACTACTACCTAGGATTCCTCGAGAATGAACTTTCTGCCCATACCATATGGTCACATGTCACGTAATCTAAATCATCGTTATCTGACTTCTACTTTGTTTTGTTTCTCATGCTCGTTGTCAATCTCAATGCATACTTTGGCACTCCTAAGTATGATATCTAAATTAAGAGCGTGTTCGGTCGTGTTTAAAATTCAATTAAAATTGAAGATATAACCGTTATTGAGTCACATTCGTCTAATAAAAATTAACAATAACAATTAATTTTTTTAATTTTAATCTCTACTGAACACGACCAAGTTGGAATTGACTTAGGGTTTGGTTGAGTGTGCTTATACTAGCTTATAAGTGTTGGAAGAATTAACTAGGGGCAGTTTGATTTTCATTATTGTAGAGTGAGAATGAAAAATATAGTCGTTATTGGGCCTCACACAAGAGATAGAAATTCAAAATTAATGGCTTAATGCGATGGATAACGGTTATATTTTTCATTTTTATGGATGAAAAATGAGAAACAAACGGGGGCTAAATAGTAAAATCTGAAATGCATCATTCAGATTTTTATATGTTTGGGAAATCAAAATGAGATTAACAACACCAGAAACAAAAAAAA